GCGCTGTGAAGGTAGAGGCACAGCATTAACTGTGGGGTGTGTGGAATGTACATTGCTGAGCTGGTGTGAGCCCAGGTGACTTTCCATAGGGGACCAGTTCTTTGCCAGGTCTAGGGAAGAGAGCTATTGTGTACAATGGTTTGGGGGCCAGGGGACTGGACCTTTTGATCTGGGGCAGCTGTGCAATATAAAGCTTCACTGGGAGAAATTTTTGTAATTGGGAGACAATGGATATGGGTCACCATTGCTCTGCCGCTTGGGCAGCCATTTACACCAGTGCAAAGTGTGTGCAAATTGGATGCAATCCCTGGCAACACAGTTTATCCCTCCAGCACCTTATCTCTTAACACACACATGATATCCTACCTTCATGATCCACCAGTCCATATTCCTGGCATGCTGCTCACCTGCACCCCATTAGCTGACAGCCAATCTGGCTGCACCTCTCTCTGGCATGCCATTTTACTTGGCCCCACATGCCCCTGGCCAGAGCACTTCAACCAGAAGCTGCTCAAGACAGTCTGCCATCTAAGCAAAACTTCAGTGTGTCACCCCCTTCTCATAGGCCTAGGGCATCAGATTTGGCTTGGCTGTGCTTCTGTTATGTCAGGAAATAGAGGGCACCTGGGCTAAATTTTAGTGAATGACATTGAAACCGGGTGTGCAGGGTCACAATGCCACTCTAATTTGGCCAGGTCACCCCCCACTCACCCATCATGATGGAGGGGCAGCCAGGCCAAATCAGCTGCCTTAGGCAGCTGCCTAGCTTGCCTATAGCTGGAGAAGCCTCTAACCCCAACAACCTCACATTGCAGTTCAAGCAACCCACACCTCTGTCAGCCCATCCACCTGGCACCCTATGCCCCTAGCACCCACCTTCATGCACCCATGTACCCTTGGCACTTCACTATCCATCAGCCCATTCCCCTGGCATTTCACCCCCAACAACCAACCCTGACACATCCAGACTTTTTCGTTAAAGACTTGAGCTTTACTTTTCCGGCTGTAAAGTGCCCAGTTCTAGTTGTCCCAGAGAGGGGCCAATTAAACTGCTCTCACTGACATGGAGACTTCACTGATAACTCAACCTGCACCTTCCTCTGCAAGATGGGGTTTGTGCAGAATGGATCGGAGATGCTGGAGTGTATGACCCTCAGAGGCACAACATTAACTTTGGGGTGATTAGGGTGCATATTGTGGAGTTGGTGTGATACCAGGTGCCCTTTCCATAGAAGCCCAGTTCTTGTGACTGCTCAATAGTTGCTTCAACTGCAGTCAGTTTAATTGGCAAATCTGCTTAATTGGGATGTTTCTCAGGGAACTGACTTAAACCTAATGATAGTCAATGGCAACACTGTTGATCAATTGTTTGGTCTGGAGGTGATTAAGTGGTGATCCTGTGGGGACATGAGGTCATTACAATCCGCAGAAATTGATGCCTTTAATCATTCTCATGGCTCTTCTCTGAACCTTTTCCAATTTATCAACATCCTTCTTGAATTTTGGTCACTAGAATTTGACACAGAATTCCAGCAATGGTCACACCAGTGCCAAAAACAGAGGTAAAATAACCTCTCTGCTCCTCCTCAGGGTTCCCCTTTTTATGCATCCAAGGATCACACTAGCTCTTTTGGCCACAGTGTTACACTGGGAGCTCATATTCAGCTGATTATCCCCACGACCCCCCCAATCCTTGTCAGAGTCATTGTTTCCCAGGATAGAGTCCCCAATCCTGTAAGTACGGCCTACATGATTTGTTCCTGGATGTAATAATAGATTAGATTAAATCTCAGGAAAAACTTTCTAACTGTTAGAACAGTCGGACCATGGAACAGACTGCCTCGGGAGGTTGTAGAAGCTTCTTCACTGGAGGTTTTCAAAAGGAGGCCAGATAGCCATCCATCTTGGATGGTTTAGCCACAACAAATTCTGCATCTTGGCAGGGGGTTAGACTAGATGACCCTTGTGGTCCCTTCTAACCCTGTGATTCTATGGTTCTATGATTCTCCATTTAGCTGTTTTCAAATGCACATTGTTTTCTTGTACCCAACTGACCAACAGATCCAGATGGCTCTGTATCAATGACCTGTCCTCATTATTTACCACTCCCCCCATTGTTGTGTCATCTGAAGCCTTTATCAGTAATGATTTTATGTTGGGCCAAGAACGGATCCCTGAAGGACCCCACTAGAAACACCCACTCAATGAGGAATCCTGTTTACAATTACATTTTGAGACCTATCAATTGGCCAGCTTTTAATCTGTTTAATGTGTGCCATAATTTTATTTGTTCTAGTTTTTTAACCAAAATGTCGTGCAGTAACAAGACAAACATCTTACAGTGTATTACAGAGTATGTGTATTATAGTGTATATGTATTACATCAACACTATTGCCTTTATCAACCAAACCTTTAATCTCATCAAACAAAGATATTGTTAGTTTGATATATTTTCCATAAACCTATGTTAATTGGCATTAATTATATTACCTTCTTTTAATTCTTTATTAATCGAGCCCCATATCAGCTGCTCCATTATGTTTCGTAGTATCAGTGTCAGATTGACAGGCCTATAATTATCCAGGTCATCTTGTAACACAGCTCTGAACAGGCCTCAGGCATGGCTGTTAATGTGTGCCTGCAAAGTAGTTGTCAGTGCTGAATGGAGCTATCATAGGAAAAATTGGGTTGGTATGAATTGTATTAAAAGGTTCCAAACTCTCTCGTAATCCATAGACTTCCATACCACAGGCTCTTCAGTCTCACCTACTGCTAAGGTAACTAGAGGCTCAAGGCAAGGCTCCCCTTTCCCCATTATTATGATTTAGTCTAGAGCTCTCTAGGCCTCCTGACAGTTGCACCTGCTTTCTGTAACCAGGGGTAGCACAGCTGTCCGAGCTGCTCCCTGGAGAGGAAGCACACTGCTCCTGTAGCTGCAGGCTGGTGTTCAAGACCAGCGATGTTCCACACAAAGAGTATGTCTACACTGCAATCAGAGGTGGGATTGCAGCATACCTGAGCTGGCTTTGATTGAGCTCAATGGGAATGTTTATACAGCAACTAGATACCTGCGCCTGGCCCGTGTCAGTCAATTTGGGCTTGCGGAGCTCAGGCTGCAGGGTTATTTGATTGCTTCCAGGCTTGGGCTGGAGCCTGATCTACGCATGCTCCAGTCACACTTCTGATTGCAGTGCAGACAGACCTTAAGAGGTGTTTAGTCAATGTCTCTAGTTACAGTTTCCTAGGAGGAGGTATACACTGCATGCTCCCAATTACATAGTGAGAGCTATCAGTGACCCACTTCCTCTGAGCTCTTCATCCATCCATCCCTGCTGCATTCCATGCCCCACTGGGGTGTACTGAGGACAGGGTGTCTTCCCAGGTTGGCAATGGCTGCATTGTGTACTGTAATATTTAAGGCTGAGCTTTGCGAAATGGGTCTGAACTAGGGCTGTAAAGCAATTAAAAAATTAATTGCAATTAATCACTCAATTAATTGCACTGTTAAACAATAATAGAATACTATTTATTTAAATATTTTGGATGTTTTCCACATTTTCAAATATATCGATTTCAATCTCAACACAGAATACAAAGTGCACAGTGCCCACTTTATATTTTTTTTATTATAAATATGTGCACTGTAAAAATAAAAGAAATAATATTTTTCAATTAACTTAACACCAGTACTGGAGTGCAATCCTTTATCATGCAAGTTGAACTTACAAATGTAGAATTATGCACAAAAAATAGTTGCATTCAAAAATAAAACAATGTCAAATTTTAGAGCCTACAAGTCCACTCAGTCCTACTTCTTGTTCAGCCAATCGCTCAGACAAACAAGTTTGTTTACATGTGCAGCAGATAATGCTGCCCACTTCTTGTTTACAATGTCACCTGAAAGTGAGAACAGGCATTCGCATGGCACTGTTGTAGGTGGTGTTGCAAGATATTTACGTGCCAGATGTGCTAAAGATTCATATGTCATATGTCCCTTCATGTGTCCATGCTGATGATGGGTTCTGCTCGATAACGATCCAAAGCAGTGCAGACTGACACATGTTCATTTTCATCATCTGAGTCAGATGCCACCAGGAGAAGGTTGGATTTCTTTTTTGGTGGTTCGGGTTCTGTAGTTTCTGCATTGGAGTGTTGCTTTTTTAAAACTTCCAAATGCATGCTCCACACCTTGTACCTCTCAGATTTTGGAAGGCACTTCTCTTAGGGCTGGTCTACACTGCCGCGCTAGTTCGGCGGCTGGGGATCGAACTTCCGAGTTCGATTTATCGCGTCTGGTCTGGACGCGATAAATCGAACCAGGAAGTGATCCCCGTCAACTGCGGTACTCCAGCTCAACGAGAGGAGTACCGCGGAGTCGACGGGGAGCCTGCCTGCCGCGTGTGGACCGCGTCTGAACCGCGGTAAGTTCGAAGTAAGGTATGTCGAATTCAGCTACGTTATTCACGTAGCTGAATTTGCGTACCTTACTTCGACTTGGGGGGTAAGTGTAGACCAAGCCTCAGACTCATAGACTTTAAGGTCAGAAGGGACCGTTATGATCATCTAGTCTAACCTCCTGCACAACGCAGGCCACAGAATCTCACCCACCCACTCCTGTAACAAACCCCTAACCTATGCCTGAGTTATTGAAGTCCTCAAATCGTGGTTTAAAGACCTCAAGGTGCAGAGAATCCTCCAGCAAGTGACCCATGCCCCACGCTGCAGAGGAAGGCAAAAAACCTCCAGGGCCTCTGCCAATCTGCCCTGGAGGAAAATTCCTTCCCGACCCCAAATATGGCGATCAGTTAAACCCTGAGCATGTGGGCAAGACTCACCAGCCAGCACCCAGGAAAGAATTCTCTGTAGTAACTCAGATCCCACCCCATCTAACATCCCATCACAGACCATTGGGCATATTTACCTGCTAATAATCAAAGATTAATTAATTGCCAAAATTAGGCTATCCCATCATACCATCCCCTCCATAAACTTATCAAGCTTAGTCTTGAAGCCAGATATGTCTTTTGCCCCCACTACTCCGCTTGGAAGGCTGTTCCAGAACTTCACTCCTCTAATGGTTAGAAACCTTCGTCTAATTTCAAGTCTAAACTTCCTAATGTCCAATTTATATCCATTTGTTCTTGTGTCCACATGGGTACTAAGCTTAAATAATTCCTCTCCCTCCCTGGTATTTATCCCTCTGATATATTTATAGAGAGCAATCATATCTCCCCTCATCCTTCTTTTGGTTAGGCTAAACAAGCCAAGCTCTTTGAGTCTCCTTTCATAAGACAGGTTTTCCATTCCTCGGATCATCCTAGTAGCCCTTCTCTGTACCTGTTCCAGTTTGAATTAATCCTTCTTAAACATGGGAGACCAGAACTGCAACAATATTCCAGATGAGGTCTCACCAGTGCCTTGTATAACGGTGCTAACACCTCCTTATCTTTACTGGAAATACCACGCCTGATGCATCCCAAGACAGCATTAGCTTTTTTAATGGCCATATCACATTGGCGGCTCATAGTCATCCTGTGATCAACCAATACTCCTCTGTTACTTCCAGCTGATGTGTCCCCAATTTATAACCAAAATTCTTGTTATTAATCCCTAAATGCATGACCTTGCACTTTTCACTATTCAATTTCATCCTATTACTATTCCTCCAGTTTACAAGGTCATCCAGATCTTCCTGTATGATATCCCGGTCCTTCTCTGTATTAGCAATACCTCCCAGCTTTGTGTCATCTGCAAACTTTATTAGCACATTCCCACTTTTTGTGCAAAGGTCAGTAATAAAAAGATTAAATAAGATTGGTCCCAAAACCGATCCCTGAGGAACTCCACTAGTAACCTCCTTCCAGCCTGACAGTTCACCTTTCAGTATGACCCGTTGTAGTCTCCCCTTTAACCAGTTCCTTATCCACTTTTCAATTTTCATATTGATCCCCATCTTTTCCAATTTAGCTAATAATTCCCCATGTGGAACCGTATCAAATGCCTTACTGAAATCGAGGTAAATTAGATCCACTGCGTTTCCTTTGTCTAAAAAATCTGTTACCTTCTCAAAGAAGGAGATCAGGTTGGTTTGGCACAATCTACCTTTTGTAAAACCATGTTGTATTTTGTTCCAATTACCATTGACCTCAATGTCCTTAACTGCTTTCTCCTTCAAAAATTTTTCCAACACCTCGCATACTACAGATGTCAAACTAACAGGCCTATAGTTACTCGGATCACTTTTTTTCCCTTTCTTAAAAATTGGAACTATGTTAGCAATTCTCCAGTCGTACGGTACAACCCCTGAGTTTACTGATTCATTAAAAATTCTTGTTAATGGGCTTGCAATTTCATGTGCCAGTTCCTTTAATATTCTTGGATGAAGATTATCTGGGCCCCCCGATTTAGTCCCATTAAATTGTTCGAGTTTGGCTTCTACCTCGGATGTGGTAATATCTACCTCCATATCCTCATTCCCATTTGTCATCCTACCATTATCCCTAAGCTCCTCATTAGCCTCATTAAAGACTGAGGCAAAGTATTTGTTTAGATATTGGGCCATGCCTAGATTATCCTTAACCTCCACTCCATCCTCAGTGTTTAGCGATCCCACTCCTTCTTTCTTTGTTTTCTTCTTATTTATATGGCTATAGAACCTTTTACTATTGGTTTTAATTCCCTTTGCAAGGTCCAACTCTACATGGCTTTTGGCCTTTCTCACTTTATCCCTACATGTTCTGACCTCAATAAGGTAGCTTTCCTTGCTGATCCCTCCCATCTTCCACTCCTTGGAAGATGGGAAGGCTTTCTGCTTTTTCTTAATCACCTCTCTGAGATGCTTGCTCATCCATCTTGGTCTACAACTCCTGCCTATGAATTTTTTCCCCTTTCTTGGGATGCAGGCTTCTGATAGTTTCTGCAACTTTGACTTGAAGTAATTCCAGGCCTCCTCCGCCTTTAGATCCACAAGTTCTTCAGTCCAATCCACTTCCCTTACTAATTTCCTTAATTCTTTAAAGTTAGCTCTTTTGAAATCAAAAACCCTAGTCCCAGATCTATTTTTGTTTATCCTTCCATCTCGTTTGAACTGACTTAGCTCATGATCGCTCGAACCAAGGTTGTCCCCTACAACCATTTCTTCTATGAGGTCCTCACTACTCACCAAAACCAAATCTAAAATGGCATCCCCTCTTGTTGGTTCTTCAACTACTTGGTGAAGGAATCCATCAGCTATCGCATCTTTTTTTTTTATTATTATTACTAGCACTTGTCCTCCAGTCTATATCTGGGAAGTTAAAGTCTCCCATGATCACACAATTCCCATTAGTGTTTACTTAATGAAAAACATTAAAGAGTTCTCCATCCATATCCAAATCGGATCCCGGCGGTCTGTAGCACACCCCAAGCACTATCTCAGGGGAGGCTCTAGGAGCTTTCTATCCCAATGTGATTTTTGCCCAGACAGACTCTGTCTTATCCATTCCATCACTTCTTATTTCTTTACAGTCTACCTCATCATTGATATACAATGCTACTCCACCACCTTTGCCTTTATTTCTGTCTTTCCTAAACAGCACATACCCTTCAATACCTGTACTCTAGTCATGACTATTATTCCACCATGTTTCTCTTATCCCTATAATATCTGGTTTCACTTCCTGCACCAATAGCTCTAGTTCCTCCATTTTGTTACTCAGGTGACACTGTAAATAAGAAGCGGGCAGCTTTATCTCCCGTAAATGTAAACAAACTTGTTTGTCTGAGCAATTGGCTGAACAAGAAGTAGGACTGAATGGACTTGTAGGCTCTAAAGTTTTATGTTGTTTTCTTTTTGAGTGCAGTTATGTAACAAAAAAAATCTACACTTATAAGTTACACTTTCACAACAAAGATTGCATTATGGTATTTGTATGAGGTGAACTGAAAAATACTATTTCTTTTGTTTATCACTTTTACAGTGCAAATACTTGTAATAAAAAATAATAATATAAAGTGAGCACTATACATTTTATATTCTGTGTTGTAATTGAAATCAATATTCTATTGTTTAACAGTGCGATTAAAACTGCGATTAATCGCTATTAATCTTTTTGAGTTAATCGCATGAGTTAACTGTGATTAATCGACAGCGCTAGTCTGAACATTTCATCGTTTGTTTTCTTTATTCCAGTCACGAGATGCCCCAAGCTGAGGGACCTAGAGCCAATTCTTATGAATTGCTCCCACCCTCTGGAATCCTTCAGCTATGGGTCAGTGTGTCGCTTCCGCTGCACTCAGGGCTACTTCCTCAATGGGACAAGCAGGGTGCAGTGCCAGCCTGATGGGCACTGGTCAGACAAGATGCCTGCCTGCCAAGGTAAGTTGTTTTGCCATGTTCTAGCTTCCATGTGGAGCAGTGCTTTTCCCTTGCAAGCCCTTTGCCGGAGAGAGACAAGAGGGTGAATGTGGAGAGGCTCAGGTGGGGAGTGAGCATTCCCAGTGTGGGGAAGGAGATCCAGGGGCTAGCAAATGAGGCTGGGCTCGGTAACAGGAAGAGCAGGGCCCTTTGGGGTATACACTAATACTTACAGCCCTTTGCAAAGCTGCACACTTGGGTGAAACCAGCAAGCACTAGAGAGTGGAACACAGGGGTGGCCAGTGGGCATCAGACACTATGTCCATCTAGCTCAGCCCAGTATCCTGTCTCTGGCAGGAGCCGGCACCAGATGCTGATAGGGAAGGTGCAAGAAAAAAATGGAGATATCCCATCTCCTAGAACTGGAAGGGACCTTGAAAGGTCATCGAGTCCAGCCCCCTGCCTTCACTAGCAGGACCAAGTACTGATTTTGCCCCAGATCCCTAAGTGGCCCCCTCAAGGATTGAACTCACAACCCTGGGTTTAGCAGGCCAATGCTCAAACCACTGAGCTATCCCTCCCCCCACAGCAGGCAGATGTGGGATGATTTGCTCCACTAGTTAGTAGTTGACTCAAGCAAGAGGAACGAGGAGTACTTGTGACACCTTAGAGACTAACAAATTTATTTGGGCATAAGCTTTCGTGGGCTAAAACCCATTTAATCAGATAGTGTTTGCTGTTACAACTCCAGATCCTCTTGTGATCTGTATAAACAGCAAATGCCTTGCCGGGCCTTGAGAAGCTCCTGCCCCGGTATTTGTGAGAGTACCACCAGCACGTTGGTGCACTGTGTGATCATGTTGACTGTATCGGATTTGAATTTGCCACCTTTCCTTTTCACTGAATGTCCCATTATGCTATGAGACTAGGAGAACACTCTCCAGTACCTTCTCCGGGCCACTTTTATCAGGTCTTCATTTATCCGTCCCCTCTCTATAGCAACAATCCCAGTCTCTCTCCTTGTCTCTCTAGCCGTCCTGCTCTGCTCCTGTGATGTCACTTTTGAGGGGAATGAGCAGCACTTCACATAGCATCCCATGCGATGGCGTCCTATTCATTTCTATAATGCTGCTCTATATTTTCCATATTATGCTCCATCCAGTTTCATTTGCACCCTAACAATTTGTTTGGTTTGTTGACCACCACTGCACATAAAGCAGAGCAGCGCTCTCCATTGAATTGTCCCTAAGGGTACGTCCAGACTACCCGCCGGATCTATCAGGTATCGATATATTGCGTCTCATCTAGACGCGATATATCGATCCCCGAACGCGCTCCCGTTGACTCTGGAACTCCACCAGGGTGAGCGGCGGTAGCGGAGTCGACGGGGGAGCCACAGCCGTCGATCCCGTGTCGTGAGGACGGGAGGTAAGTCGAAATAAGATACGTCGACTTCAGCTATGCTGTTCCTGTAGCTGAAGTTGTGTATCTTACATCGACACCCCCCCAGTGTAGACCAGGCCTAGGGATGCCCAAGTCTATTTCCTGAGCTCACACAGCTTATTTATAACTCAGTATGATGGATGGGTAGTTTGAGTTATTCCCTTCAGCCAAGGGTGCCAGAACCGGCTATGTCCACCCACTTTTTACACAGATGTAGTTGGGGGAGCAGGGGGCCACATTGCCCCCCCAAACTGCAAGCCCAGACAGGCACGAAGTGGCGCAGGCAGGGGCTACGCTTCACAGCGGGCTGATGATGATCAGCTCCCCCACTGCAAAGCTCAGCCCCTGCCCACAGCAATAGCCTCTTCCCAGTGCGGGACTGAGGTGGGCCTTAGCCCCCCCTCGCCACTAGTCCCTGCTAGAGGGCTTATTCCTTCACCCTTCCACTTCCCTGGTCCTTCTCGCCTGAACAGAGAGCAACAATACCCAAAGTCAGAAGGTGCAAACAGTTCGATGTTTATTGGGGTGAACTTCCAGCAAGCTTAAATCCAAATTCCTTTTTCCTTATTTTCGAATCCCAATTTACCTCCTGTTTGCCCCTAATTTATATAGTAATATTCTCAGCTATACCTTAACCAATCATTTTACTGAAATCTAGCTAACCAATCCTAACATATTGTAACATAATTCTCTAACCAATTATATCCCACTACCCTAATTAATTTACACCTAGCAAAATTAATTATACAGCAGACAGAAACAATTAGAGAACCAGACAGATTAACAATAGAAAAGTGGGGGCCATAAAGATAAAATGAGGGTTTCACAACCACAACTGTTGAGAAGTGATTTCTTGCCAGACAGGATGCTATCAAACTAAGTTTTCTTTAACCATCTATATCTGGTGGTGATAGGCATTATCAGGACAGGATTGTATTCCTAACAGCCCAATAGCACCTTATTTTAATGTGACTAGTTTGGAATGTGAGGATGTGACCATACGCTTCCCAGCTTATGGTTGCCTCTGCTGCTTAGCCAAAGGCCTTAGCCTAAGAACCAGGCCTCAGACTATCCTAGTGAGAGAAGGCCCATAGACAGGTGGACTGTGATTTTGATTCTTTGTTTTATACCTCTATAACTAGCTAAGTTCTTAAAGTATAGGCCTTTACAGGCAGGCCTGCATATCTATATCCCAACAGTCCCAGCCACTCTCCGTGGCCCCACCCCCTGCTCCTCCTCCCCCCCACCCCCCCGAGGCCCTGCCCTCTGGCCAGGACGGAAGCCAGAATTGGGCCATGATAAGTAGGGTGACCAGATAGAAAGTGTGAAAAATCAGGACGGGGGTGGGGGGTAATAGGCGCCAATATAAGAAAAAGCCCCGAATATCAGGACTGTCTCTATACAATCTGGACATCTGGTCATCCTAGTGGTAAGAGCCATCCAAGGAGCCCGGCCACTGTGGAGAGTCCTGGACCCTCCACGACAGGGGAGGCAGGGCCTTGGGGGAAGAGGAGGGCAGGGGTGAGGCCACGGAGGAGGCAGGGCTTCATGGGCCCCCCACTTCTACCTAGGTTCCAGCACTCCTGCCTCCAGCATGTATTACTTTGCATTTATCAACACTTAATTTCATCTGATTTTGGAGCAGGAGTCCCAGTAACTTTCAATGGGATTCAGGAGCCTAAAGCTCAGTTTTTTAAAGGTATTTACGTGTTGCTTCTTTCAGCATTGCAAGGTCTAAGTGACTTAGACAGCTAAGTTCCATTAAGTGCCTACGTCACTTTTGAAAAGGGACCTAGCTGTCTAAGTCACTTAGGGCCAGATTTTTAAAAGTATCGAGGCACCTAAAGATGCAGACGGGGGCCTAGTGGGAATGTCAGAGGCATCCAACTGCCAGAGTTCAGCACTTCACCTGCTTAGGTGCTTTTGTCAATCCCACTAGGGCCTATTTGTCTCACTAGGGACCTAAATACCTTTGAAAATCTGGCTCTAAGACCCTTAGGCGCTTTTGAAAATTTTACTCCCAGTGATCTGAATCCTAACATGTTGGCCTGGGAATTTATTTCAGAAGAGGCTGCTCCCTATTTCAAGCAAGTCCTGCTTTACATGGGTGGTGGAGCTGTGGCCCTTGTGGCCCTGTTGTTGACAGGAATGTTCATAGCTCTGCTAATCAAGCGTCTCAGTGACAAAGGTAAGAAATGCATGGCTTTGTTTGTGCCTTTGGTTATTATTGCTGAGGGCATTTGCCTGGAAACAGGTGATTTATCCCTTGAAGAAGTGCAGATAAGGTCAGAAAAGTGATTCAAGATGGCCCCTTATTAGTCCACGTGGTTCATCCCTGTGTGCTTGTTTATGGACAGAAGTACACCCTCTCCTCAGCCTTGCAGACCCAGCATAGCTGAGGGAGGAGCTGGATTCTATTCTGCCTCACATGGCTGAGGGCAGCAGCATCTTTGTCCCTGATGAGGCTCGGTGAGATGAAGGGGCTGAGCCAACCCTCACTGAAGTCAACAGAACAAGTGTGGCTGCTGCCACTATTTTCAGGGAGGTCCAAAGGCCTGAAATACAGAAGACTGGCATGCTGTTGTTGAAATAGACTCCCAGAGAACAAGTTCAGGATCTAAGTAGAACCCTTTCTGAGGGTAACCATTTTTCCCAGGAGGTAAACAAAGCCCCAACAGAGAGATAGGAGCCCTGTCAGCTGCACCTTGCTCTGCTGGGCCCTCCTAATAATAATCTCACATGTCCCAGAGGCCTTGCATCCATGCCGCTTGGCTCAGATGGCATCTTTAAGGTGGTCCCAGTTCTCTTCCCTCTGCCCAGGCATGGAGTCTAGCCATGTGGGGTGTGACATTCCCCTGATGTTATCTGGACCGACCAATCCTTGACTCTGGGAGCCAGCCTTACCCTGCTGTGCTGTGGGAACCACCACTCCTGGGTTCTTCCTGAACAGCCTCTTGCATGTAAGCTGCTCCCAGCTACATGAGTGAGCACTTTTGGCCAGCCGCTGCTTTGATTGTGCAACTGAATGACACTAGCCAATATCTCCAGTCCCAGACACAACCCTAGGAACCGCTGTCTTGCAGTGTCCAGTTATGCCTGCTGGACGCTGCAAGCTTATATGGGTTTGTCAATTTAACAAAGAAATTGATATGTACCAGGCTTGTTATCCCAAGGGGAGTCTCTGACACGCTTCAAACCAAACGCACTACTTCAGGTAAACTAAACAAAGAAATTTATTAACTACAAAACATAGATTTTAAGTGATTATAAGTCAAAGCACAACAAGTCAGATTTGGCCAAATTAAATAAAAGAAAAATGCATTCTAAGCTGATCTTAACACTTTCAGTGCCCTTACAAACTTAGATGCTTCTCACCATAGGCTGGCTGGTTGCCCTTCAGCCAGGCTGTCCCCTTTGATCAGCGCTTCAGTCGCTTGGTGGTGGTGTCTGTAGATGATCGAGGAAGAGAGAGCCAGCATGGCAAACATCTATCCCTTTTATCATGTTCTTTCTTACCCCTTGGCTTTGCCCTCCCCCCGCCCACACTTCAGGGTCAGGTGAGCATTACCTCATCATAGTCCCAAACTGACCAAGGGAAGGGGGGGTGACTCACTGGAGAGTCCAACAGATCCTTTGTTGCTGCCTAGGCCAGTGTCCTTTGTTCCTGTGAGGCTGGGCTGGGTTTGTCCCATACATGTCCTGATGAGGTATGTACTGCCCCTCTGTTCCTGGAGAGTTTTGCCTGGGCTTGTTTTAAGCCATAAGGATACATTTTCAGCCTCATAACTATATACATGAAATTACAACCTATAACATTACTATAATATTACTGTAACAACAATGCTCATTGCATCATGAGCCTTCCGAAGACACCTGACATGACAAACTTTGCATTGGATATCACACAATCATATTATAAGGATGAACATGGGGGTGCAGGATGTTCCCCCGAGGTACAGAACATCACATGGGGGGTATATGTACCCGAGCACAGTGTATCTCCACTAACCATCTCAGAATTTGCTCTCGGAAGCCATGGTGAGAACCTAGTCTGTCAGAGACTGCTTTATCCCACATGCTTACCATACCCTTCACTGATGAGATCTGTTTTGTTGTTGTTGTTTCTGCACCATCCCATGGATGTTTCAACTCCATCATCAGAGGAAGAAAAAACACTGCTGAATCCCACCAGGTAAGAGCCATGTGTTCTGTGAGCTGATCACTCTAACTTGCACCACGGCTTTCACGAGCACTGCAGCTACCATGGAGCTTGCCAGTCCCCTGTTTTTCCTCACCCAGCCCTTCCAGAAATTTTAGCCTTTTGGGGTGAGACATTCGTGCCTGACCCCAAAAGTGAATTTTTTTGAAAGTCTGAACAGGAATGGTTTATAGTATCAAGCACAAGGTGTGTAGGGCACTTTCCCCCATCATAAAACATCATATAGTCCTTACATTAATAACTCTAGTGCTGAACCAGCTGGGGCTAGAAAGCTGAATTCTGGCAGGGACATAGACATCTTCTCAACATGGGCTTTGGGATTTACAGTGAAAACTGGTTTTGATTAGACCAAATGATGAGCCTTTGGAAGTCACACTTTGTGCATACACAGAGGCATGACAGGTGCATTTTTAACAATGATTTGCCAGTGTTCCAAAGAAAGGCAGGGTGCACTATTTTGCATGTGTTGCTAATGGGACTGCATACACATTGTAAACAACTGGTCAGTAGATGCCAACAGAATGAGCTAGGGCTCTATAGGAGTCCTGTCCTGGTCAATGGGATTGTCTTGCCTGTTACGTGTACCATGATTTTTTATTACTAAATTCCAGTATTTAAAATAATAACACAGAGAGCCATTTCTTTCATTGGGTCCTTTAAAAATTGCAGGTTTAACAGGGGTCTCTGTTATAATCCACATTGTGAGAATTTAAAGTGTGTTCCACCATGAAGCCAAAAACATCGTGGCATGGAGTCCCTGAGGATGACCCTTGTATAGTGTTGTTTTGTTAGATCCTGGCTTTCTGTGCAGTGCAGGCTCAGGCCTGGAAGGGCAGTGAAGGTTTTGTAAACAATAGACTGGAGAATGGCCCACAAGATGGGGTCATTACGTTCATTGCTGTTTACTTGTAATATGGATCCATATGAACACAGGTACAAAATTTATGGGCAGTCATGAGTGGTTACAGCACCACATTCAGGGGATAAAGAGGCTCTGATAACACATCCTCCCAGACACAGATGCAGTGACTCATTCAGGAAAATGTGTGAGTCTTCAGGAGCTGCCAAATCTGTGCCCCAATTCTTATTTTGCCTAGGGTGGAAGAACCAGTTCCTTAAGAGAGAAAAGGGCTTTTTTGACCGATGGTAGGGGTTCTCTCATTTCCTATCACTCTAGGTTTATACCAGTGTGTTTCTGTTGTTGTCTAGTAACCTGGGAGCACCTGGTGTCTTTACAAATGCAGCGTTTGACTCCAACTTTTAAGGTAAACTGTCAGAGAAATCAGTCTTGAAATGCTTATTTATTTCTATGAGACAGAGTGGGTGCGGTAATATGTTTTACTGGACCAACTTCTGTTGGTGAGAGAGACAAGTTTTCAAGCCATACAGAGCTCTTCTTCAGGTCTGGGAAATGTACTTAGGGTGACCAGACATCCCGATTTTATCGGGACTGTCCCGATATTTGCTTGTTTGTCCCGAGTCCCAACCAATGTTAGGTCGGGACACTGGACAAACAAGCAAGGCTCCCGCACATAGGCGGAGCCCGGAAGGGCTCGCGCCCCCCCCCGCCCCGACTCCGCCTCCCCTCCTTCCCCCATTGGATCCCTCCCCAAATCCCCGCCCCCATCCCCGCCCCCTCACTGCCCCATTGGCTCCCTCCCCAAATCCCCGCCTCTTCCCAAGCACGCCATGCCCAGGAGACTCAGGGGAGTGCGGGCCGGGGTGAGTGTGAGTCCGGCCTGGCCCCGAGCAGGCAGGACTCGGGCGCGGTACCTGGAGGGAGAGTAGGGGGGCGGCCCGCGGGGCCAGGAGGCGGCTGTTCTCCCCACCTGGGCAGCGGGACTCGGGAGCAGCCGCTGCTGCAGCTCCCACTGCCGCGGGGGGAGGAAGCGGCCGCTGGCCAAGCACGTGGCGCTCGGCGGCTGCAGCTCTGGCGCCCGGGCCCGAACCCCCCGAGCCCGGGCCTGCTGCGGGGACCCAGCAGCGCGCACGCTGCGCCCAGCCCCTGGCCAGTCGCGTCTGGGCTGGCTGCCCAGCTGGTGCAATCCCGCGGGCGGCCCTGGGGCGGAGGCATTGGCAACCCCGTTCATTCCCCTGCGGGACCCGAGCGGGATGGGGGGGCTGGGGCCTGCTGCCCCCACTCCGGGGCCGCCCGCGGGATTGCACCAGCTGGGCAGCCAGCCCAGACGCAACTGGCCAGGGGCTGGGCGCAGCGTGCGCGCTGCTGGGTCCCCGCAGCAGGCCCGGACTCGGGGGGGTTCGTGGGCGCCAGAGCCGCAGCTGCCGAGCGCCACGTGCTTGGCCAGCGGCCGCTTCCTCCCCCCGCAGCAGTGGGAGCTGCAGCAGTGGCTGCTCCCGAGTCCCGCTGCCCAGGTGGGGAGAACAGCCGCCGCCTGTCCCCCACTCACACTCACCCCAGCCCCGCGCTCCCCTGCGTCTCCCTGGCCTCCGTCCAGGGCTTGGGGGGGGGGGTGATGTGGTGGGGTTTTTTTTTTTTTTTTTGCTTTGCTGCCTTTTTTTCCCCCAGACATAGTTGCCAAATGGTCATAGCCTCCTGTGTGAACCAGCCACTAGAGGAAGACAAAGACACTCTTCTACAGCTTGTTACATGAAAATCCAACATGGTTCAATGTGTGTTTGTTTTACTGTCTAAATAACATGCACTACTGCAAAGGTTCTCAACCTGTGCATCATGGCCACCCCTGTTTCTCTAAGGGTAGATGGGAGAAGTGTCATGAATGCTTTTCTATTGTGACATGGGGCCATGACATGGAAAAGGATGAGAACCCCTGTGCTAGAGGAGCTGTTTTGGATACATGCACAAGCTCTACAAGTTGGTACACCATGCAAAATGTAGCAGAAAGTCCTAACCTAGTCCTAAAAAGGCATCTATGAGAATAACTCCCCTCCCCATCCCCCATTCACCCCACCACCATGTCAATAACTCAAAAATGAACAAACTGAACTTTATCAAACTCTTTAAATAAACTTTCCTTTGGGTAATTTCTTATTTATATCCGTTATAGCTAAAGCAGAAGATGCCCCCAGGAGAGAAGATCACTGGAAGGAAAAGGTCCTGAAGATGGTACTCATGCCTCAATCCTTTTAGAAGCTGTTTTTATACCTTACTCCTCAGCTCAGCTCTGCCATCATCCAGCCCAAGAACTCACAGTCACTGACAGTCAGGGATTAAACTAACTCTGGTGCACACATCCAGTTCTGATCTGAAATCTGGGCTTGTTCTTCCTCTGACACTGGGCTTCGGTTCACAATCCAGTTGTATCATGTAAAGGTCCCCAAGCATGAGTGGTGGGTGAACTGCTGGCTCAGGGAGGCTAGCCCCCCAGTCCCACCCCTTCTACCCGAAGCCCTGCCCCTTCCATGCCCGCCGGAGCCCAGAGACCCCCGACAGTGGCCGCTGGCCCCTGCCTCAGGCTAGCGCCCCCAGTCCTCACCCCCCAGCCCCAGAGAGCAGGGAGGCCAGGCAGCATGGCCCCAGCCCAGCCCCGGACCGTGAGGAGGCCCGGCAGTGCGTCCCCAGCCTCCCTGGCCCCAGAGCGTCAGGTGGCCAGGCAGTGCAGCCCCAGCCTCTCTAGCCCCAGAGCGCCGGGAGGGTGGGCAGCACAGCACCAGCACCAGCCCCAGCTGGGGCCATGATGGCACAGGGGAAGAGCCGTCCGCAGAGTGGGAAGCAGGAGCGGACTGGTGACGGAGTGTGGGTGAGGCCACGCCTGGCTGTTTGGGGAGGCTCAGCCTCCCCCAGCCTATGATACCTGCTGCCCATGTCCCCAACCCACTTGTTCCTTCATCCACCTGCCTATTGGATGCTCGGAAAGGTCCTCAAGACCTGGGCCCTAGTATCTACACCCTCAATCACTCTCTAGTCCAGGGGTGGTCAAACTTTTTGGCCTGAGGGCCACATCTGGGAATAGAAATTGTATGGCGGGCCATGAATGCTCACAAAATTGGGGTCGGGGTGAGGGAGGAGGTGAGGGCTCTGGTTGGGGGTGCAGGCTCTGGGATGGGGCTGAGGATGAGGAGTTTCAGGTGTAGGAGGGTGCTCTGGGCTGGGACTGAGGGGTTCGGAGGGCAGGAGGGGGATCAGGGCTGGGGCATGGGGTTGGGGCATTGGGAGAGGCTCAGGGGTGCAGGCTCTGACCAGTGCTTACCTCAAGCGGCTCCCAGAAGCAGTGGCATGTCCCTTCTCCAGCTCCTACATGGAGGCACGGCCAGATGGCTCTGCACGCTGCCCCATCTGAACCGCCCCTGCAGCTCCCATTGGAGCGCCGGAGGGGGCCATTGGAGCGCGTAGGAGCAGGAGTGGCTTCCGGGAGCTGTGTGGTGCGGCCCCCGACCCAGTGCCCTGGCTGGAGCGCCGGAGCAGGGCTGAGCTGTGTGGTGCGGCCCCCGACCCAGCACCCTGGCTGGAGCGCCGGAGCGGGGCTGAATTGTGTGGTGCGGCCCCTGACCCAGCGCCCCAGCTGGAGCGCCGGAGCGGGGCCAAGCCGCATGGTGTGGCACCCGACCCAGCGCCCTGGCTGGAGTGCCAGAGCAGGGCAAAGCCAGACCCCGCTCCCCAGAGGGAGCTCGCGGGTCGACTTAAAATGACTCGCGGGCTGGATACGGCCCGCAGTTTACCCACCCCTGCTCTAGTCCCATCCTAACCATCATAATATTCAACACTCACACAGAATTCATCTCTTCAAAGTGCTTTACTAATTGTTACTAATTGCTAATTGTTTACTGTTCTGTAAAGTGTCTGTCAGCTTCTGATGTAAATTGGCTAAATTGCATAAGAGGTACCTATTCCTTCTGCCTTGTTCTCCAGATGTGCTTATTATTCACAGCACACAGGCTTTTCGGTATTGCTTTTTTTAAAGTCTTGCCCAGGGCTTTTCTATTACTGGTGGACTATGACAAGTGTGTGCAATAGCTAGTAACTGTGACCACCTCTTGAAACAGGTTATCAAGTCTCCAGTTGCCACTTGCCCTTTAGAGACATTTTCCAGCTTCTTGTCTTCTCTCTGTCTGCCTGTGGTGGTGGACTATGGTGTTTCCCCTGGACACTGGAACATCCTGCAGAAACTGAGCAGGTGGAGGGACAGCTATCTAGGAAGGAGACAACTGGCTGGAACTTGAAGCTATGTTGACTAGGGAAAGGAAACACAAGACAGTTTTATGGAGGTTGGCATCCCTTGCCTGAATGTGTTATTGAGGTTCTTTAGCTGAGATCTTCCACCTCACAAAACCCTGGCATAATTATCGATAGTTCTGTAAGGAGACCCTGGAGGCTGACTTTTTCTCTTCATTAAACTCATATACCTTCACGGATGGCATTGGGTTTGCACAGGAAAAGCTGAGCACAGAGTGATTTTATATTTGTTTTTCTAAGCAGCCTCCTCTATTAATGTTTCTACCAGGTGCTCAGTGGAATTTTAGTATTTCTTCCATACGATCATTTTCATACCAGGGAGGGAGAGAGCTGCTCCCCCTCTCCTATCTATGAAGGCAGGAGTCTGTTCCAGGCACTCCGTGGAATCATTGCAGGTTTCTTCTCACTCAGTGTTTGATGGCTTCTCCTTATTTGCCTTTCTCCTCCAAAGTTTCCTGGCAAGACTGTCCCAAGTCCCCTCTCCTCCCCCACACCTCCACTTTTTTGCACTAAATATTTGGAGGAGAATTGAACCCAGTTTACAACAGTCTATGAATGTCGAAAAATAACTTTGTAGAATGCCAGGCTTGCTGCCCACCCTTGCTCTTTCTGAAGCTACTATGCAGACATGGTGAGGCATCTCTTGTATTGCCAATGCCACCCTAGTGCTTCCTCAATGATCAGCAAAGGAGATGGAAAAATATAAATATGGACATGGCATTAGTACTTTATTGGCTATCTTGTAATTTACTTTTTTTTGTCTTTCAGAAGTGGGTCCAATAAAGTAGAATTCAATAATAAAAGTGTGAATGTGAAACCAGGTTTTTGCTCATCTTAGTTTTGAGCACTATGGAATAAGCAAGGCACAATCAATACCTTGAACTGAATAGCAGATAAAACAGGCCTTCAAATGGGATTAATACAATCATGTAATCTGAAATATTTGCATAAAACAGGCCAAAGAATCCACCAACTGATTCCTGCCTGTTTCTAGCCCAATAACTAGTTGAACAAGAGTATATCTTTAAGAAACATAACCAGTCCTGATTTAAAGATTTAAAGTGGAGAATTTATCACATTCCTTTATAATCTGTTGCAATGCTTAATCACCCTCAGTATGAATTTAGCTGACTTCAATTTCATGGCACAAGGGACCATTAGAACATATTGCAAGACATGTTAGACGATTGAAATCTTTATTGATTATTTTACATATGCTACAGCTCCTCTCCACATTAGTGCTGAATCTCTTGAACTCTAGTGATGTATTTAGCAAGTAATATTGTGCACTGAATCACAAAGCACCTACTTCACTTTCCTTAACAAAACAAATAACCTTTATTAGACATAAGGAGAAAAGATTCCAAAGTGCATTAGATATAACACCCTGCTTCACCAGGTTAGAAACACCCCTAATTATTGCCCGTGTTATCTGTGATTAGATGTTCGTCTACATGTGTTCTCCCTGTGTGCTGCCCCAGCTCTGTGCAGACAGCCAGCACAGCAGACCTTGAGCGAACCGCCCAATGACCACAAGATCTGTTAATGTATGAAGGTGGCTGTACAGGTTTATTGTTGACAAAGCACGGTAATAGCATGTGGCAGACTCTACGAGGATACTAAGACATGTATGCCCGTGACAGTGGACCAGCTCAATGATTGGCGGGACTTTCCATTCCCTCCTCGGCTGGACAAAGATACTCTCTCTGAGATACATCTTTATACCCTGATACAAACAAGTTATGTTACACATGCCAAACCCGCGGAAAAAAACACAGAAATTGGGCTCGTTTTTGGCTTAATTGGCTGTGAGTTGCTTGTTGTCTAGTTTTTGGCTTGTAGCTTGTTTGGCTTGTAGCTTGTTGTAGCTTCTTCTTTTTTTTTTGATCGGCTCCCGGCAAGCAGGGGCAAGGGGGGGAGAGAGTCAGGGGTGCACAGTGGGCCCACCACAGTTCCAGACTGCATGCCAGGGGATCTAGTCACATAGAGTGTTGGGGTTCTAAGGGATTGGCTTGTTTTGGCCTTGTTTTGAAATGGGATTAGCTTGATTTTTGGCTTATTGTGAAAGTCAGGGAGCTTATTTACCCCGTGAAAGTTGGCAGCTGTGCCCTAGAGCCCCAGGCAGGTGCAGTATAAACTCACAGGGCCTTGCCCTAATAGGATGTTTCCAAAAGTTAAATGATCTATTCCAAGTTTGATGAACTGCAAAAAACTGATAGAAAGTAATCCAAATTTTTCTACAATTGTTTCAATTGTTGTATTCAAGAGTTAGTAACAAAGTAAGAATATATATTACATTTTTAAACTTAACCAGTGTCCCTTAACTGAATTGACACAAGATTGCAGAACATGTTAGTAATTCAGACCCATCTCGCAAAGCTCAGCCTTAAATACTACAGTACACAATGCAGCCATTACTAACCTGTGAAGACACCCTGTCCTCAGTACATCCCTGTGGGGCATGGAGTGCAGCAGCAATGGATAGATGAAGAGCTCAGAGGAAGTGGGTCACCTCCTGCTAGGAAACGGTAACTAGAGACACTGGCTAAGCACCTCTTAAGGCGGGGTGGCCAACCTGAGCCTGAGAAGGAGGCAGAATTTACCAATGTACATTGCCAAAGAGCCACAGTAATATGTCAGTAGCCCCCCATCAGCTCCCCCACCCGCTCCCAGTGCCTCCCGCCACCGGCAGCCCCACCGATTAGTGCCTCCCCCTCCCTCCCCACACCTCCCGATCAGCTGTTTCGTGGCATGCAGGAGGCTCTGGAGGGGAGGGGGAGGAAGGAGGGCGTGGCAGGCTCGGGAGGGGACGGGAAGGGGTTGAGCGGGGGCAGGGCCTGTGGCAGAGCCAGGGGTTGAGCAGTGAGCACCCCCTGGCACACTGGAAAATTGGCGCCTGTAGCTCCAGCCCCGGAGTTGGTGCCTATACAAGGAGCTGCATATTAACTTCTGAAGGGGTGGCTTCTCTGGAGCCACAGGTTGGCCACCCCGTCTTAAGCAGGGCCGGTGCAAGGAAGTTTCGCGCCCTAGGTGAAACTTTCACCTTGCGCCCCCCCCC